GGCAGATATAATTGTACTTTATAATATTCCTGTGGACATACTGCTCTGGACACAGTTAAGTGAATAGATGCCATTTTCTGTTAAAGGTTTGACCATCAGATCACTAAACTCTTTTAATTTCCATTGGTAAGTACCTACGAGTGATTTGTTTGCATGGAGTCTGGCTTGCTGTTGCTTTGGTCTTGCTCTGTCCCTTCCCCTTGTGTTACGCACCTTTGGGATCACTCGTTGTGCCTTAACCCCATTCTCAAAGGGTGCTATCCCTTCAGCTGACCCCTCACCTTGCCTAAAAATACCAAGAACAGCTCTCCTGCCCAACACTGGTGTTGCAGGGGAGGCTGCAGAGCAGCAGAGGAGTGTGCAGGGGCTGTCTGCCTCCCTTGCTTTTGCACATTGATTAGCGAGCACCTGTGCTACTGAGCTCAAGTCCACTTTTTTTCCAACTGTGCTTTCCTCCATGGAGACATTAGCATCTCTTCCCTGCTGCCCTCTTAGTCTGAAACAGATATGTCCACCACCCTGTCAAGGAAACAGGTTCCCTGCACAAACATTTCGGTTTGCAGTGCTCAGTCTCCCATCTGGGCTTGCTCCCCATCCCCTACATCTGGATTCCCAGGATCCCAGCTACTGCTGTGGCATTCTGGCTGGCGACACTCCCTGAGAAACTCTCAGTTTTGGGAAAACAATGACTAACTGAGACACTGGGCACCCAGGCACCTTGCATCCACATGCTTGAGGCTGTCAACATCCTCCTTTCCTCCTCCTGGGAAACTTGGGCAAGTCAGGGCTGCTGTGCGGAAGGAGTGTTGGAAAAAGGACCAACAGCAGGAGGTTTGCACTTCACTCAACTTCATTAGGAAAAGTCAAGCTCTGCCACAGGCAGGCATTAGCCTCTCTGCCAGTGAGAAGGAAAGACAAATTCCACCTCCAATCTGCCTTTCTCCCACAGCTCCTCAAGCCTGGTACAAGGAATCAAGTAGACATGAGGGAGACATGAGACAGGAGGAGACTGGGCACCAGAGGAGCATGGGGAGGACCTGTCCTGCAGCCTCAGAGAACCTGAGAGCCTTCCTCATCCTTGAGGAGACCTCCAGGCCTTGGGGACCTCTCTGTCAGTGTTGGGAGGATTGGGGCTGAAGTGGGGTGTCACTGCAGTGCCCCTCAGGGCAGTTATGAGGCAGGCTGCTCCTTTGGAGAGGGGACAGCCAGGTTCCTGGAGAGACAAAGAAAGGATCCCCTTGGAAGTGGCCCCTAGGGATATCCCTCCTCACCTCTGCGCCCCTAGCCCACCCGTGGTAGCAGTGAGCTTGTCCCCATGGAACTCAAGCGCAGCTAGGTGGGGGAGGCCGCCCAACTGCAGGAAGGGAGCTTCAGGAGATGAACTCTCTCTAGAGATTCCTTGGATGGATGCAGAGGTGATTTCTTTTGGAAATAACCCCACTGGAAGTTGCTAACTTTGCTTCCCTTCACCAGGAGTGTCTCTCATCATTAGCAAATACCCGTTTCCTGAAGCGTTTTTCTTTTTTTTTTTTTCCTTCAAGCTAAGGGGTTTTAGTGCTTTGTTCTGCGGTTTTAGGGTGGATTTATCTCTACAGCTGTTTAGCACCCTGTAAATGAGTCAGCTCCACCATCCCCTCTCCTCCTACACAAGCAAGAGAGCGGGTGTTGGGGGGAATGCATTTTAAATATTTTAAGCTTAGGAGCAGCATTTCTTTTCCCCTTAGGAGGTGTGTCGAACACACGTAGCGCTGTGAAGAGAGGCGCCGCTAATAGATGCTCTGTCAAACTTAAAAGGCACTGCTTACCACCAAGTTGCCGGGTGCCATCAAGATGTATTTGCACAGATTGATTAGGAGCCGAGCTCCGAGGGCGCAGCAAGGCAGGCTGCCCACGGGAGAGGGGCACTGCAGTTCTCCACAAGGAGCTTTTATTTTTATTTACCTGGGAAGGTGAGGCGCTGCTGGGAGGGAAGGAGAAGAGAAGGCAAGGAGAAGGGAGGAACTTCCCCGAACTGAACCTTGCAGGGAAGCGCTGCCTGCGCTGCAGAGAGCCGCTCTCCGGCTGGCTCCGCGCTGCGGACCGGAGGCAGCGAGCCTCATCAGTATGGCATTGGGGGGCCCCCTGCAGCTGGTTAGAGCCACTCCAAGCAGACAGCCTCAGCCTGAACACCACCTACGGCCTTCATGCTGCCTGCCTCGGGCAGCAGCGTGCCGCGGAAAGCGGCTCCTCGCCATGCATCCCTGCCTTGAAGACCTCTATCCTCCTCCTGCAAAGAAGGGGGAATCAGCCTCAAAGAACACAAGGTCCTTCCAGGATCGCCCAGGGTCAGGGCCAGCACGTTCCTCCCTTCTCCGTGCTTTGGGAAAGGTGGATTTGTGCATACGGTTATTGAACTGTAATTAAATCTCCGGGAATCAGCATGCACAATCAAACACTTGCAAAGTCACTGAGAGGGAAAAACAATAACAGTAAGGGAAGAGGAGGCGTGCTTTGTCCCTTCTCAAGCTGATGATGATCTTGATTAATGAATGTTAAATACTTTAAGCGCCAAGCTCTCACAGCCTGTGGGAAGTGCAGGGGGAGGCCTGCTCAGCCTCTAGGGCTCTGTCTCACAAAGGATGGGGAGTCCGAGAGCACGCCTGGAGGTCCCCTTGCCCTTTCATTGGGTGAAAAGTAGTTCTGCAGGTACACAGTTGGTTCATGGCTTGTTTCAAAGCCTCCTGGCATCAAACTAGACTTGAGGTTTGAAATCTGACCTGAGGAAGCCAAAGATCTGCCTCTCAGGTCTCCTGTGAAGCCCAGGTGTAAACCTCCAAGAAGGCTAAGAAATCAAGAGGCAGGAGTAACCCCCCAGCTGTCCTGATGTTCCTCAAGTGATCTGATGCGTAAAGCCCAATTAAAATTGCTTTCACAAAGAGAATCACAGACTTGTGTTATGCTGAAGCATGAGTACTTCCAAAAACTCACAACTCTCCACCCCAAAAGTGAGTTCTGATACCCTGGGCAGAAGAAATAGCCAGGGCCAAGCAGAATGTTTTCTGAAGTCACATTGCCTTCCTTGGGGGTAAACATCTCCCTCAGACACTTCAATGTAACAGCTAAATTTATGTGGGCAGAACAAACAAGCTGTTCTGCCTGGGATGAGCCCAGGTCAAGAAGTATCTACAGGAAAGTTAAAGGCTTTTTTTTGGTTTCTGGAGAGGAGTTCCCAGCTTCACCTGGCTGAGGCCTCCTTTGGGGGTTAGTTAGTGGGAATAGACCCCACTGGGTGGCCCCTTCAGGGGGAGATGGGACAAGATCAGACAAGTGGTACCCAGCCTCTTCTCTGCATTGCTCTCCAGTTCCCTCCTCTTGCTCTTGGCACAATAGATCAGATCATCTTGCCTCTCCTGCTCCCTGCGCGAGCAGTCCCAGCAGTCCCAGCAGTCCCAGCAGTCCCAGCAGTCCCAGCAGTCCCAGCAGTCCCAGCCCCAAGCATCACCCTTAGACCACAAATCAATTCCAGCCCAGGAGAGATGCAGACAAACACAAAGCAAACCCAAGGATGTTTGTGTCTGGATTATTTCCATGCAACTGGCAAGTTCTCTAAAGCAAAGTAAATACTTCTTAGACTAATGACTATTAATTAAAGGGGATGTTTTACACCCAAGGAGAATTAACTGTTGTCCGCAACATGTATCGCCTTCCCTTAATTTGTTTGCTGTTTTGCCGAGAAATCTACATGCTATGAATATTTCAGCAAAATAATCTGTTTAAAAACTAAACTGGATTTAATATAATACTTTCCTTCCTTCCTTCCTTCCTTCCTTCCTTCCTTCCTTCCTTCCTTCCTTCCTTCCTTCCTTCCTTCCTTCCTTCCTTCCTCTCTCTCTCTCTCTCTCTCTCTCTCTCTCTCTTTCTCTCTTTCTCTCTTTGTTCCTTCAGTGCACAAAGACTCAGATCACTGTGATAATCTGAAAGCATTTCTCTCTCTGTTTCTTTCTTTCTCCTCCTGTATGTTGCTTGAACTTACAGCTATCATGGAATCGCGAATAGTACCTAGAAATATAGAAATAAGGAAAAAAGCACTGTGTGGGAAAGATGTAGAGAGGTAATTGGAAAAAAAAAAAAAAAAAAAGAAAGAAAGAAAAAAAAGAAAGGAAAGGGGAAAAAATCAGTTCTGATGTGCAAATTGTAGATAAAGACTTCTGATGAGGAAGTAGGGAGCATCTGATGAGGCAGAGGGGAGAGTGTGTTGAGAGATAACAAGAACCAGTAATTTCTATTCAGCAAAGCCACCAAATCAGAGAGCAGTGCTGATCTTATTGGAGGAGAGCCTTCAACAGCAACTAATCCTGGTATATTGAAAGAAAATTGTAAATGTTCGCTGCAGAAATTGCCTGCCTTGCAGCTAATCGAAGCCACTTTGCGCTCTCGCTCTCTCTCACACACATACACAGAGGCTGGCAGCAAGGGGACCCACAGCCGCAGCTCCCAGCAAGGACACTTAAGATGCTCACCTAGGTGTCCTGCCTTCCCACCCTCGCCACGATCGCCGCGGAGGTGGCAACTTGTCCTCATTTCCTTGGGAGCGCTGGGGGAAGTATGAATTATTACCGGCTTCTTTGTGAGTGCCAGCTCCAGCTATTTTTAATTCCCTGAGTCGTGTCTAAACCGTTAAGCAAGGTTTGATAGCACTGTTGCTCTACAGTGATTTTTTTTTTGTTTGTTTGCTTTTTGGAAAAGGTCAGTGTGGCAGAGCTGGGGGACTCCCTAGGGCCAGAGGCACAGAGGGTGTGCATGTATATGCATGTGCGTGGGAGAGAGAGAGAGAAAGAAAACGGAGAGGGCGAGACAAAAACTCGACCAGCCGGACAATGCCGCCTCTTGCTTAAAGCTCTCAAACTGCTATTCTTTCCACTCCGCGCACACGCACACACACCGATATCACAGTACCAAGAAATCCGTCTTCACCCCCCAGCCCGGGCCCCCTCCCTCCCCACGGAAGATATGGGAGTGAAAGATAAAGAGGCTGCGGGCAGGCACTGAGTGCATGCAGCCTGCATGCCGCGGCTGCCAGAGCAGGCTGTGCTCCGCGGCCGCCCTCCACAACGAATCGCTTGCAGCGGGATGGGATGCAACTTCTTGTAATTGGATCACAGGTAGGAAAGATTTGCTTTTTACTGACATTTTTCCTCTCTCTCTCTCTCTCTCTCTCTCTTTTTTTCCTTCTGACATTTCCTCTCTTGCTTTTTCTTCTTTTTCCTTTTTTTTTTTCTCCCTATTTCCCCCCTACCCCTCTTCTCTCTCTGCCTCCCCTTGCCTTCTTCCCCATACCTCAGATTTCATCTGCCTCTGTCACAGTAAAGCTCCTTCAAATAAAATAATTTCCAAGAAATGAGCTTTCATTTTGCTTACTGGTAGAAGGAGGAAAGCAAAACAGTGGGGGGGAAACTTTTACTAAAAGGGTCCATCGTGGTGCAGGTCACCGGAGGATGGCAGCGAGAGAAAGAAAGAAAAGTGATTGCCCTCAGCAGAGTGTCTACCTCTGTTGAATTACAGTTGTGGTATTAAACCTAGAATCTAGGCTAGCACGGTAGAGCAGTAAAAAGGAGACGCAGTAACCTGATTTAGAGAATCCCTCGCCTTTTCTAAGTGTTATCCATGGGCGTTTTAATATATATATGTGTGTATATGTATATATATGTCATTGCTGCATTCCTGGACCACCCTTTTTTAAAGCCCAGCATGACATGTTTGTTGACGATTCCTGCAAAATGTCACCTGGAACCGGGAATGGAGGTGTTCTGGGGATGCGGAGCTTGCCCTCGGAGCGTGCTGGCTGCTGGGCCAGAGGGCAGGGCTGGGTGGGCAGGAGGCAGGAGAGCGGGATTCAGTGCCTTCAGGGGCACTGAAGGGCTGAGGGGTACGGGGAGAGTCTGCCACTGTGTAAGAGCATCTCCGCCCAGCATCCCTCCTCGGGGCGGTGCATCTAGCTTGGGACAGTGCCAATCTCCACGGCCTTAGGTCTCAGGTCCTACCTGGGGAAAAGGCGAGCAAGGGTTCACACCCCACCCCGCAGCCTCAACGCTGTCCAACTGCCGTCACGCTGCATTCCGAGGGCCAAGGAGGCAGCCCCAGAGTCACTGCCGCGAGGACCAGCTGTGACCCACCTCCCCCTGCCACTTTGGGGCCGGTGCCCGGCATGAGCAGGGCGGACAGGTGAGGAGAGCCGGGTCGTGCTGCCGGGCCCGGGCCGAGCTCCGCTGGGCCCCGGCAGGGACAGGAGCTCCAGCTCCGCCTCTGTCCCCAGGCCGGCTGCGCTGCGAGTCCTTCCTGGCAGAGCCTCTGGGTTGTTTTTCCTTCCAGCCATGCGATCCTCACAGGGTGTTTTGTGAGCAGCAGGAGCGAGCTGATGAGGCTGGTCATGCTGGGGGCTGTGGGGGTAAAAATGCCCTTATTAAATTGCAGCTTGAGGCACCCAGCTGCCCTCCAGCCCAGTGCCCGGTCGACTTGGAGGCTCTGGTGGTCCCTTTCCAGGCTGCTTCTCCTCACACAAAACTAGTATTCTGTCTAGTTTGCCTTCCAGCAAACTGCCTCCCTCCCAGTTTGCTCCTCTGCCTCTCCCCACTTCCCATCAGCTTCTTAGTGCCAGCTCTGGGCAGGCTGGCCCAGCCCCATGCAGCCCCATGGCCCCCATGGGAATCACCGGTTGTGCATTTCCTTCCCAGAGCCTTTGGGCGAGTCCTCCACTCAGCTCCTGGGGAAAAGACTGGGCGAGTCCTCCACTCAGCTCCTGGGGAAAAGACGAGGGATTTCCCTTCAACACCCATCAGATTTTTTTTCCTCCCCTTCTACCCTTTTCATGTGCTAAAGTTTCTTTAGGGAAGGTGAGATCTCTGTTCTGTTGTTGTTTTTGTTCATCTAGAAAGGGAATTTCAGCAGAAAAGTAAGTGTAATCGCAAATCTAGACAGAATACCATTTCTCTACTTACATGTCAGGCATGGTATTTGCGTGGTGAGTAGTCCCCTTTTTCACCTTCCCTAGAGGAAGATCTTCCCAGTGGAGAGGGGGAAAAATTGAAAGAGAAAACAGAGTAATGGACAATTGCTGCTTGACAGTCCGCTCTTGCAGGTATTTTTTGGGGGAAAAAAAAAAAAAAGACCGGGAATGAGGTGAATGAGGAAGGTTATTACAGGAGATCAAAAGTAAGCACGTTGTCTACTTTTATGGTATTGTGTCGCTTGTAGTTGCATACCCTGCCTAAATATATGCCAGCCTCAACTGTATAGTTTATGACATCAACCTCTTTCAATGACTTGCGTATAAATTACATTATGCTGCCCAGAGTATGCTTGCTCCCCTCTCCTCCTGTCTTTCCTTTGGCATCTTTTTGGTTTTAACCTTGGTTGAGTGTTCCCTTTGCAAGACCTCTGGACTGCACTCTATGGTTTCATGTCCCTGTTTGTTTCTCTGTCGGTGGCATGAAGTGGGCTTCCCTACTTGACAAGCTTCTGTCCAGCTGGATTGTCCCTCTCTGCTCTTGCCTGCAAGTGACCCATGACTTCTGCATGCAGTCTGTCCAAGAAAGGGGCTCAGTATTTGTAGGGGGAGGAAGCTTGGTATTGTCCAATTTCAGTTGTTTTAGAGGGAGTGAAGAGCAGTAAAAAAAAGAGAGATGTCTCTCTCTCTCCTCCTGTCCAAAAATAAGAACTTAAGTAATACCCTGTACTCAAGCAGTTGCAAGTCTGTAGTTAGGCACAGGCAGAGGAAAATCTGGGGCATGTGTGGACAGGAGTGTCCCACGGGGGTGGAAGGAGTGACAACAATGACAGGCCATGCTGTGCTGTCCTTTGAGAGGAAGACCAGGAAAAAAGAAGGAGTTTCTACTTCTGGAAAAAAAATATTTATGAACTGAAAATCCTGTTTTTTTTTTTGTTTGTTTGTTTGTTTTTGTTTTCCTGAATATTCAGTCCCATTCACCACTGGCATTTCAGTTTTCATCTCTCATTTGAGCCTCTGTGCATGTTTTGTGTCTCAGTTGCTCCATATGCTTGGATCTTTTAGCCCATTAGGTGTCTAATTCAATAGTCTTTTGAGGAGATCTGTGGTGAAAACTTCCACTATTTTTGACACAGGCTCAGGCAATTACTTTGCTCCTCTCCTGTAACTCAGTCACCCGTTCACCCAGACTTCCTCTTCTCCACTAATATCATGACCTACATGCAAAAGACTTATTTTCTGGTCCCGTTTCCATAGTAATGCAGCATGGGAAATGCAGACAAACCAGTAATAATGAAACAGATTCCCCTTCTGTGAAATCAAGACTTTTTTGAAAGTTGAGTTCAATTTAAGGGAAAGTAGGACTTTAAAAAGAGTCAGATTTCTAGCCCAAATTTTCACACTTTCTAGTGTCAGAGACAGGCAAAAGAGATCATCACTAGATGCAGGAAATGAGAGACTTCATAAGAAATTACAGGGTAGGGTTGAGGGGCATGAGAGAGGTTCATTTCATGCAGTGTCTTCTTCCTGCCATCTCTTCCCTCTTTTAAATCCCAGGACAGGTGGGATTCAGTTGATTCTGGTTCCATCACCCAGATACTAAAGCCACGGCTCTTTCAGGGCAGAAGAGAAGGCGGGCATAAACTGGTGATGGGTATTCTAGGCTGTATCTAGACATTTATTCACAAATCCTGGATGCCTCTGACTTCGCAGTTTGCAACAACTTGCAGCTAATTCTTAGAGATTTGGAGGAAGAGAAGAGGATTATTCACTTGTGAAAATGTTGCCCTAACCTTTTATAGGCTTCTTGGGTGAGTGGATGGGTATATAATAGTAATCAGGCTAAGGAAGGTTGAAGGGACTTAGATTCATGTTCATGTGAATGACAGGGATATCTTTTTCACAAAGGCTTGTAGCCTTAAAAGCTTAAAACGGACGGTAGCATTTCCTCTTAAATCCTAGCCTGGATTCCCGACTCTGAACCACACTGCACTGAGGATCAGGCACTGAGGGCTGCAAAATAAAGCCGTAACTGAGGCAATTAGCTCCCTCCTCTTCCCCAACACACGCACACACATGTACCCATCCTTTCCACCATCTATCTTTATTTTGACAAAGGCAAAGGCAACTTTCAACTTTGACTGGATCTCCACATCATTTCTTGAAGTGGAGCTGCCCCGAAAAATGCATAATATCATATATCTGCTTGTCGTCATCTCATTGTCTAAACACCAACTGCATATGCCTTGAGATTGCATTCTTTGACATTCCATACAAAGCAGAATTCTTTCTTTGTAAATGTACACAGAACTGGTCGTCATTTTGGAAGGGCTGTCCAACCTTTACATCTGTACTCCTGCTAATATTTAACACAGCCTAGACCCTTGTAGAGAGAGTTATATATCAGCAGCGGTTTCAAAGAGACATCTCTCATATATTATGATTTTAAGTCTCAAGAAAATGGGATGGAGTCAACTGAGTTTATTCTTATTTCCATCAAGTGCATTCTAGAGAATGCTTTTCAATTAAACTTAGATACACAGTAGTCCATGTGCTTCTTGTGTTCACTTTTTATAATATGATAAGGATAAAAAAAAACTGACCATCATTTACAACCAGCTGCTTTGCTGAGAGCCTTTCCTCTGTTTTTCTTATGACAAGATGTTCTTCTGATTCTTGACAATCCAGCATCTCTCTTGACTCTATGGGCTAGATTCTCATATTAATTACATTCTTGCAAATCAGGAGTGACTTCACTGACTTTAATCACTTCTGATTTATGCTAGTGCAATTTAGCCCAGAATTTGACTTTCGTGGTAAGAAAGAGTCTTAATTGGAATATTCTAATGTTTTGACAACTGTTTATTGAACAGTTCTGAGTAGTCAGTCTCTGCCGAAAGGGAAATGCAAGGTGATAATGAGCACTGTGAATAGTGTGGGGGACCTCTGAAAATGATGGCAATAATTATTTTTAAGAGGGGCCACAATGCTAAAAATTAAGTCCTATAAAACAGCATCTCTTAGAGCATGAAAGGCCTCAATCTCTGAGAAGAGCATGGAGTGAACTGTGAGCAGGTATGTCCTTTTATATTTTTGTTTGTCTTGTTTTTTAGAGAAAGATGGATCTAAACAAAAATGTTTTCATCAATATTTCTACTG